TTATGCTGCAGGACTGATATTCTATAATGTAAAAAACTAACCTACTGATATTGTATGTACTTGATGTTACAGGCTTGTCGGTCTCGTGACAAATTTGCCTTGTGTCAGATCCTGCCAACGCTTATCCACTGTGAGAATGAGCGAGCATCTGAGGATACTTTCCTCCACACCATCATCTCTTATCTAATCCCCATGGCCGAGGACTTCAGCCAAGAGGACTTGTGTGTTGTCGTGTTTGATGACTTCATACTGGTAAGTACATTATATATATATTACACGTACTACAATTTACAGATAGACACTCATTACATGGGAGACAACTGATAACTCCCCCACACACAATATATCAGTCTGGACATTTTTTGATGATAAATATGCTTTTGAGAATATCTTCAATAAAATCAATATTGAGACAAACCTATAATAAAATCACTGTTGAGAATATATATATATAAACAGCTTCTCCAACAGTTAAGAACTGGTTTTATTGTTTTAAAAGACACAAAGTTGATTGAAAAAAATATTAACTCACCATTTGCAAAAATGTGAAATCAAATATATGATCTTCATTTGCATGATTGAAAATAATATTTCAGTGTTTTATTTCAACCTTTTTGGGATTTATTTTGTTATTCACACAGACAGATAATTTGCAGGAGTTTAGAATGTGATTGTGTTCAATCAGTAAATAGATAGTGAGATAAATATCCCTTGACATATATTTAGTGATAGGTGAATCATTTGAAAAAGAAATTTTAGAAATAATTGATAGTTTTTTTTTACTATAATATTTTGTAGCCATCCATTTCCAAGGAAAACATGATGAGACACCTGCTGCGATTGTTGTGGCACATCCACCACAAGCTACCACCCACCCGCCTCGAGGCTCTCATGCAGGCCACGGCACCAAACAATGAGGTATGACTCGGTGTACACACCAACACTACCAAGCTCCTAAAGTATTAATGTATATTCTCTTACACGTTTGTATGATTATCACCAGTTGATGATAGCATAGTTTATCATAAATGTTTGTGGGTAGTATATTTTCTTTATTCCTTAATACTAGTTAAGATAATTTGTTTGCATTTTATTTTGTCTCTCAGCTGTAAGCTCCACTGATATGACCTGCTACCCTGTTTGTTTTACAGCACAGTGAAGCTGTTCACACGACGTACCAGCAGCTGGCAGATAAAATATCCTCATATGAACCAAGTCCTGCAACTCCACAGGAACAGCTTGACTCGCCACTCATGAGTGTTCCTGCGCCCACTCCTGCTCCGTACTGAACCCCGGATTAGCCTAGGACCTTCATGGAACAGTTGTATTGTGTTTTAGTATGTAATTGATAAAAAGCAATGGGATAAGAACAAGCTGTAAAACTCCAAGCCATTTTTATGTATTTGTCATCAGCACATCAATACTTTTGGCCATTATCAAAAATAAAAAATAAATGAAACTAAAATTTACCTCATCTTTTAATTTTGTTGAATAATCATTTTCATGAATGTGTCTGAAATGATTTTTATTCATTGCCAAATATGTTATGACACTGGCACAAATACTTATCCATATCCATTGTTAATATACTGTTCATGAGTAAATAAAGAAACACTCCCTGTGAAAAATTAAAAGTGCAATGGACACAGCAATGAACAAGGCAATTGACAGAGAAAAAGACACCACTCAGTATGATATCCAAAAGGATGTTGCCAATAACAGACCAGAACCAGGGCAGTTTTTCGTTTAAATGGTCAAACCGGTCGGACCACTGTTGTTCGTTTATTAAATAAGGTC